GGGATTAAAATTAAAAGAACAGGGGAGATGCTCAGTGTTAAAATCATAATTGCCTTAGCTTGTCTTTTCATAACTATTTAAGAACCAGAAGTCCTACTAGTTTCTTATTTTTTTTTTTTTTAAATCCATACTTAAGTAAATTCTGTAAATAGACTTCAGAATCTAAGAACAGGTTTTTTTACACCACTGAGAAAAGATAGGACAATGGAGTTTCAAAATTCTTTTCCAACTTTTTAACATGTTGTTTTCATTGTGGGTAGGTGATAACAGAATAAACTTGTTATTCTTTTCTTGATTCAGTCTAAGTAAGTGGTCAAATTTTCATCTTGATTAATTCCTTTTCAGTTATTTCCGTATATCGTATGTTTGATTTCGGGGTGTAAATGTTACTAGTTATTTGTACATATTTATATACAAATCATATGTAAATTGTACAAGTTTTAGTAGGAAAGAGATACCTGCCAGGTGCAATTACACAGGAAATGGAGGTAAAGTCTAAAAAGCTTCATTTTAGTCTTATCTGTGTTAGTAGCTTACAAAAATGTGGCATGAGTTGCTTTCGGTGCCTTTGTTTTCATTATCTGGTAAACTGGTATAACATTTAATTCCTCTATAAAGCACCTTTGCTATTTATAGAAGCTAATACTGCTTATCAAGAAACCATGAGGAAAATGTCTTAGTCACATTTCTTTTCTGTGCAGGTCTTGCACTTCTGTACCCAGAATGCCGGACTAGATCTGTGGAAAATCAAGGAAATAACTGAGTTAGTCTTGGATATGCTTACTTTGGTGAAAAGGTGGAAAATGTAAGTTCTTGGTAATTCTTGGTTCTTATTCCACAAAGATTAGGATGATAACTACCAATTAATACACGACCACTGACAGTTTGGAGCTTTCCAGTGTGCTGTAATGATTTACGGAGTGGCAGATATTAAGACTGTAGAACTATACCTCTACAAAAAAACAAAACAAACAAAAAAAAATTACAAAATCTATAATTAGTACAGAGAGGAATGCAATTTTTACTTTTTTATTATTTTGACAAAGCATGTTCAACAAGAAAAATAAGAGGTGACACTAACAACTGATTCTCATTACATTATTCAGAATATATTTCTCTGGACATTAACTTGTGTAGTCTGGGTTTCTGGTACTGCATATAAATTATTAATTCATCTTTATTGAATATGACCATTTAAGAATCTAAATTACAGATGTATAATACATATGCAACAATACTAAAATGGCAGATTTATTGCCTGTATTACATAAGAGAAATTAGGTTTGTAGACTGTGTGCACTGAAATAGTAACAAGCAATATTCTGCTTCAGGGTAGTAAATGTAAAGTCAGATCTCAATAGCGAGGAAATTCTTGTTTGTGTCAGTTCATTACCTGTAAAACATGAAATTAGGAGCCTTCCTTTTTAATATCTTTTTTTTTTCATATTTGATTAGGTTACAAATAATTTGGGACACTTTTTAATGTTCACCTTTTCAATGTTCACAGTACAACTGATTTCAGGTGGAATCAGTGGATGTTACCATGGGAAACTTAATTCATAGAATGATTTGGCTTGGAAGGGACCTTTGAAGATCATCTGGTCCAACCCCTCTTCCTTCTCTTCTCCAAGCTAAGAAACCTCAACTCTCTCAGTTTTTCTGAATAGAAAAGGTATTCTTGCTCTCTGGTAATATTTGTGGTCCTCCTCTGGACCCACTCTAACAGTTCAAGTCTTCCTTTAGTTAATGTTCATAATACAAATTTTATGTACAGATTTGAAGGTAGAACATACAAAAATTAATTTCTTAAAAGTATATTTTCTTCCTTAATCATAGACAACCTAAAAGGAAAACAGGATGCCTCCCATTTCCAGCTCCAAAAGCACTGGAAATACAGAGAAGCCTGTTAAAATAAAATTAAAAAAAAAAAAAAAAAGTCTATCCTCACTCTAAGAACATGTAAAACTTTAGTAAACTGTTGATTGTTGGTTCTGATTTCTGCTAGTTTTGAGTTCTATTTTTTTGAAATTATTTTCAAAATAATATTACTCGGAATTTTGCAGAATCAACCACTGAAACAGAGTTAAACATATAATGTGGTGATCCATACAGTTGACGTTATTAGCAAACTAGTGGAAGCTGATAGACAATACTGGCTTCTTGTCTGGGTAATATTTGTTATTGAATAATTTCTAATGCAAATCACTGTTACATGTATTATGGCAGATGCCTGGCTGAACTTCTAACAAACTATAGTAAAATAATGATTTATGGGTAACTGTATAATGAAGCAAATATTAGATGTTAATTTTGGTCATGAGTAAAAGCTAACTGATAAAATTTAATGCCAAAGTTGAATTTTAAGGTGCTCTTCAGATGATTAATACCTGAAAGAATGTATGAGATTATTCAGTGTTTCAGATGACCCTTAAAAATAGCATCAGTGTATGGAAACAAATTAAATTTCTCTATCTTCTACTCCTCATCTAATACAAACCAGCCAGTTCATCTTTCCAGTTCTAAAATGATGTTTTTTCTCAGCTGAAATCTTGAAAATGTTAATTGCTGAAGAGTATGCACTTGTCCTAGATGAGACAGATATTTTCATAGCCTTCTATAGGAAGGCAGGCTATAAAAAGCAGGGTCATATGTTATAAATAACTAAAACCAGAAGGGTACAACAAAAACATTTCTGTTTTCATAACTATACTAGCCAGCTTCTCTGCTATTGCTATAAAAAAGAATGTGTACAAGGACAGAGAGTTATCTATTTACCTTATTAAAAGAGATGTGTTTTTGACAGAATTAATAATTAGGAACTTGTTGGAAAAAAATCCTGCATTCACATTATTAGAAATGAACATTAAACCACTGACACTGTCTTGTTGATAAATACTTTTTTTTTTTTAAATAGTAAACATTGAACCTTTTAAATGTCCCAGAAAATGAAGATTGACTTCTATTTGTCTGACAGCAATTAAACTGGTGGCAATAGATTATTGTAGTGCTATTGTACATTAAGCAAGTGGATACATTTGTGAGCAAGATTTGTGTAGGTGGGGTACTAAGACAAGAAGGAATTTGTTTATCAGGTGATATTTCATTATAACAGGCAGCAACTCTGTCTCTACAGAACACTTACCTTGCAAAGGATCATGTGTTTCAGAGATTACATATTTCAAACAACAAAACACTTGTGTGACATAAAAGCTTCAGCTTCTTACACAATTACAGAATCTTTGAGAGAGAATAATTGGGAATATAAACCAGAAAGATTTCTTAAAGAAAATGCTTGTAGAAATGGGTCAGTATACCAAGGTGGCCTTCATTTAAGGAAACACCAGTTGTCCAGGCTGATGTCAAGAACCTACAACTTCAACTCATTACCCATATCTTCAACTCAATGTAGAAAGCAGCAAAGCAAAAGAAAGATAACAGCTTTCTTTTTGCTTTCCAAAATACATCTTCAAAAGCAAAAAAATAAAAAGAGTTCCTTAATAGTTTATCATTAAGAACTTGCCAATTACTAAATAAATCTTATCTTAATACACTTTCTGAAATTCATGTAGAAATAACAATCCCTTCTGGAAATGGAGGAAGCAAATCTGAAATCAAATAAACCCCAGTGATTAAGTAATTTAATAGAAATAATTTTCAGATTTCAGATGGCTACAAAGCAGATGATAACCTCGGAAAAAGTTGTACAATCAACATCTTTAGTATCCATTGAATAGCATTCTGCTGACTCTACTCTAGTATTCTCTTGGTAAACAACTTGAGGAATTAAGACTAAAGCCAAAGATCACTTCCTCCTTTTTTTGACATATCATTTTGGCCACTGTGTTTACTGGATGTTCAATATTAAACAGAAGCAGGAATAAGGCCATAGGATGGAATGACTGCATGTTTAAGGTGGGCTTAGACAGACTATTAGCACCTATATTTAAAATGGAGATGCAGAGCCTTCCTCCTTCAACTGTAACAAAACCTGCTGCATGCTTAAATAAATTTGGAACTTATGTTCTTTTGTATAAGTATAAGTAAACAGAAAACAGAGTTTTCTGTTTACTTATATTCAGGTTTCTATGCATATTAGCCCTGATTTAAATTCCTTCACAAATCAGGTGTCAGGAAGATTTTTGCCCATACTCTATTTGTACCACTAAAAGCAATATTCATGGTGTGTCCAACACAAAGTCACCATCCCTTTCACTGAAAACATAACCCATGATGGTTTACACTTTTCTGGGAAAGTTTTTATCTGTGAGCCCTCAACATCTGGATCCTTTGAAATCCATGTGCACCTCACCTTTCAGGAAAATAACATGGTAACCAAACTGTCAAGTCATCTATGTAGAGAGAAAATAGACCATTTTGCCACCAAGAGTGTGAGAAGGACAGGAAGGAAAAAAGAACCAGACGATGGCTTAGTGATTACTGCAATTAAGACAAAGGAATCTTGGCCTCCGATTCTAGCTTCCTAGGACTTTTAAACTGAATGCCTACAATTCAGAATTCTGAAAAGCAATGGAAGGCTTCAAATACATGCAGAAGAGGAATATTAGAGGGCTACAAATTGTAATGGTACTTCACATTTTAAGAGCGTTTAAATTACCAAAGTGTTCCTTAGAAAAGTGATGTTTTGATGTGACAATTTTATTGTCTGTAGTATGATATCTCATCATATTGAGATGCTGTAAGCCCTTGAAACAAAGATCTTGAATCATTGGAACAAAATGTAAAGTTAAGCAGTGGAAGATGCTTTTTTGAAAAGAGTTTGAGAAAAAATATTTTAGTGTGAATACATAATATTTATTTAAATCAGTAAGAAAAATATTTTATAAGAACATACAAAATGAGTTTTTACTTTTTAATTTTTTATAGAAAAACACTTCTAAAGTACTCTTGAACTGGCTGCAGCACTAAAACACAGTAATCAACTGAAGTAAGATGCTGTCAGGATACTAAACAGCAAGTGAAATGAAGCAGCTGCTATAATGATGCCCTGGTTTCTCTTCAGATCATATAAATCTTTCAGCTTTTACTAAAGATTTCCATGGAAGGGAACAAGTACGAGTGAAAGAGTAGTTGTGTGGTTCTTAGCTGTCATCTGGGGTTAAACCACAACAAATGATCAAGAGGATTTACATTTTTGTCCCAAAATAAATCACAAATAAGAGGAAGTTAGAGAAACAAAGATAAACTGAAAAAATTAAACCAGTTTTGTTCAAGTTTAATAAAAAACTTCTCTAAAAGAGATAACACTGGCATGATTGTGAAATTTAGAGTAGAAAATTAGCATCTTTGTGATGTTAACTAAAAGAAATTGAAAATATTTCATAAATGGTTTGCAAATATTTGACTTTGCCAGTGGTCTGATAGTGTAGTGCTCGTGATGTTTTAGACTGGAGGTATTCTCTGTGATTTCTTCATACTCCAATCAGATATTTGAGTCTAATTAGTATATATGACAGCCAACCTCCTTTAGGATTCTGTAAATATTGCAGACTGCAGAAAGCACTTAATTGTTTTCAAAACAAAAAAAGAGTCATGACGATTTTATTCACAGAGACTATCAATATTTGTTTAAGATAGTCACATGTAAGATTTTTAATGCCAAGAAAAAACTTTAAAATTTGCAGATTCAAGTTTAAAGCGCTACTTGGATTTCAGGAGAACAAAGCACTATGAGACATGATTCACTTACATTTTTCAGAGACTTTTGGTTTGCACTGCAAGAATCCTAATTAGGAGGTTAGAGAGTATGTCTTACCTCTGTGACAGACACAGTGCCATAGAATCATGGAATATTCAGAGAGTACTGTGTCAGAGTAATAAATTTATAACCACTTTTACAGGTTTGCTGGCTAAGATGAAGAATATATCCTGCAGAATCTAAAGCTACAGCATCTTATTAATTAAAGGATACTGAAAGGTGAAACAATGTTGGTACCAAGTCTTCCGAAACTTCACTTGCATGCCAGAAAAGATTTGCTTTTGCAGACAAGATATTTAAACTGTGTAAAACTGAAATCTTGATTTAGGGAAGGACAGATACCATCATTAAATGCACATAGTCAGAAGTGCTTGCAAGGATCTGCACAGTTTCATAACCCACACTAGCTGGGTAGTTATTGGCACCCTAGGAGTGATTTCCTGTAATTTTTTAGCTTTCATAAGACTGAGCACTGTTTGCTCACATTTAAAATATTTCAAATGGAAGCTTTGCCTGAAGTCTGTTCTCATGCCTGGATGGACATCATGGTTTTCACAAAAAAAAAAAAAAAAAAAAAAAAAAAAAAAAAAAGAAAAAAAAAAAGCATGCAATCCAAACAATGTCTGCACAACACTTTTTCTGGGACTTTGATCTGAACAGTTAAGGGATTAGGACCAGAAAACATGCTGCATCTCATATTTTTGATGTTGTGTGCGTGACTCATCATTAAGCTGGTGAAGGGCCTGGAGAGCAAATCTTACAAGGAGCAGTTGAGGGAACTGGGGTTGTTTAGCCTGGAGAAAAGGCAGCTGAGGGGAGACCTTCTCAGTCTCTACAACTATTTTAAAGGAGGGTGTAGAGGTGAGAGTTTGTCTCTTCTCCCAAGTAACAAGTGATAGAACAAGAGGAAATGGCTTCAAGTTGCACCAGGGGAGGTTTAGATTGGAAAAAAAAAATAGGAAACACTTCTTCACCTAAATGGTTGTCAAGCACTGGAACAGGAGGTGGTGGAGTCACCTTCCCTGGTGGGATTTAAAAGACAGGTAGATGAGGTGCTCAGGTACATCGTTTGGAGGTGTAATTGGTACTGTTAAGTTTATGGTTGGACGTGGTGATCTTAAAGGTCTTTTCCTACCACTAGGATTCTGTAATTCTGTGGTTATGTTTAAATTCGCTAACTATTTGGTGCTGGCTTCAGCTTTGCTGGAGTTAGGATTTTAAATTGAGAATTCAGCAACAGTGAAATGTACTAGTTCAGAGGTAGAATATTGTGAGTCACTGACACAGCTTTGAGCCATTCCCACACATCCTGTCACTGGATATCAGGGATCAGCACTTCCATCTCCACTTACACGTTTGTTCTTGTTAAATTTCATGCTGTTAATAATTGCCCAATGCTCCAATCTATCTAGATCCTTCTGCAAGGCCATGTTACCCATTAAAATGTTACCTCTTAAAACTTTCTAGTCTGTCCTTGGACTTGGCTATTGGCATACAGAAATACAGCTCTTCCCTTTGTGATCCTTAACATCTGAATGACTTGGAAAAGCTACATTGTAGGTAAGAAATATAACACTAAAAAAAAAAAAAAAAGGAAAAAGAAAAAGGTTTCATCTTTGACTTCCTAATAAAGATGTATATGTTTTGCATCTGGTAGTTGAGAGAATAAATAAAGCAATAAAGTACAGCTAATTGAATACACTGTTTTTGTCATAGGCAAAACCTTACTGATAAACAGACACCTGTTCATATACATTGACGATACTGTCAGGCACGAGAACAGCCTTTGCTGAGAAAACTCAGGTGGGCTTCAGTGATCTGTTAACTACTCATACGTGCATATAATGTTAGATTTTTATGGCATTTATTTGAATATTTTCAAAAAGTACTTTGAAATTCCCAGTAAACCAAGCATTTAATGTGCTTGCACAGCTATCAGCTTGCATGACAGGTTCAAGTAACACTGGAAATATCAAAAAGACATCACTTGCCTAAATAAGATTGTTCATAAATGAAGTTCATAAATTTTGTAGGTATTGTCTTGTTAGAATACATTTTATCTAATATACAAAAAAAAATCATATTGCTTGGAACATATATTTTCAGTAGAGCACCTTTTTGAGGTGTTTTCAAAACCTTAACCTCTTTATTTTCTAAAAGTACCTCATTAGTTACCAAACCCAAACCCCAACAATCTCAGTCAGTTATTTGTACTCATTTTGCCCAGTGCTCGTTATAAATGAATGGAAAATATAAGATATTTCTCACCTATACAGCTTTCTTTGAGTCCTTCTTTGTCTATTCTCAACCAAAATTCATCAAATACTTTAACTGATTTTGGATGATGGCTTTTCTGTCCTTAAAACAAACAAACTTTTATAGCTTTAAATATTCAGTGTGCTGTTTGTCAAATAAAAAGTGAGTCGGTCTTCACAGGCCTGTTTGTGTGAGATGTTTACTCCCTGCAAATTTCTCTCATTAAATGTAGATATTCTACCACTTTGAAAACACAAGGCAAAAAAATGGCTTACATTGCAAGATTTTTTGAATATATTGAATGAACTTGTGAAATGCAATGTAAATATAGCAAGAAACCTAGAGATTACTTCAATAAACCTGATCCTATCAGTTTGAAGGGAAAAGGGAAAGAGCATCTGACGTTGTTTACACAGAGGACAGGATTTAACATTTATAAATTAACCAGAAAAGCATTACAATCATATAACAAGGCAGTTTGTCGAAGTTCTTACAAAGAACAGATATTATAAGCTTTGCAGGAAATTTTACTTGAAATGAAAGAATGGTTACTGATAAATGTAAATTTGAAAAAAAAACAACCAGCAAACAAACAAACTAGAAAAGCCAAAAATTGGCTGCTATACATAATTCCTAAATAAACTTTACAAAACCTTTTGTAAGAAGGTGGTAGCCTGGTAGTAGCCAGGAAAATTTGGCTTTATTAAGAATTTAACAGAAGTCTGAGCATTTAGAAAAAGTTTCATAGTTAGGAATGGCTGGGCCTTCTGAAACCTTGAATACTGCAGATATTTATGTACCTAATGATATAGCAGGTAGCCAGTGGAAAAAAAACAAACCACAATCCAAAATATCTACAAAAATCTTTAAGCACCTGAGGAGAGTTTTGGGCTGAATAGAAGCCCCTGAATCCAAAATGTATATTTCACATGTATGTAGACCTGTGGCACAATTCTGAACCCCTCCAAGGACACAAAGGTCCAAATCTTCAAAATCTGCGGCAGACATGCTGGTTAGAATTGGTAGAGACAGAAAGGTATAAAGCTGAAGTTGTCTACAAGTGTTTGCTGTGCATTAGACACATGTTAATATCAAACTGGATCATATCAATTCTCTCATATATCTATCTCATATATTTGGTGACAGCCAACATGGTTTCACTAAGGGTAAAAAATGCCTGACCAATTTGGTGGTGTTCTATAATGCAGATACAGCATTGGTGAATAAGGGAAGAGCAACTGATGTCATCTACCTGGACTTATGCAAGGCATTTGACACTGTCCTGCACTACAACCTTGTCTCTAAGTTGGAGAGACATGGGCTGGACAGATGGATCACTTGGTGGATAAGGAATTGGCTGGATGGTCACACTCAAAGAGTTGCGGTCAACAGCTCGATGTCCAAGTGGAGACCGGTGACTTGTGGTGTCCTTCGGGAGTCTGTACTGGGACTGTCGCTGTTTAACATCTTTGTTTGTGACATGGACAGTGGGATTGAGTGC